AAAAAAAAAAAAAAAAAAAGAAAAAACGAAGGAGGAACGAAATTAACGGAGTGAAACGGTACACCTAACCGCCCTTCAGGTTTTGTTCAACGTGGTGATCCACCGATTCGAGAAAGGAAGTCGTACCATGATGTCGGTTTTTGACTATGTTTAGAACACGGTTCCTGATATTTGCATATGTATTAAACTGTTCCTTTTTACGTTCGTAACGTGAAAGTTTTCTGTTTCAAGAGAGAATTGAGAGAATCATAATAATAAAATCGAGAGAAGATTGAACAATTTGAGTGAAACGAAGATCTTGATATATCTCTGTTATATGGATGGTTGTTATTGATAGTATAAAATCTCCAATTGATATTTTATTCCGGTTTAATAATTAGGAGCTTAATCATCATTGATGAATTATATTATAAAAAAATGTTTTTCTTCAAACTTATTTTTTTTTAATTTCAATGGAGAAAAATTTTATTCTCAATCGGATTTAACACCATTGATTGAACACACGATCACTTTGGCTAAATTTTTTCAGATACGGAAGAAGTGATAGAAATTTAATTGTAAAGATTATTTTTTCAAAATTTAACAAAAAAATTATTAGTTAAGATGTTAAGAATCTATAAAAAGAATTTTTTGAACGTAAGAAAAAACAGAAATAAATATGATTGACGATATTATCTCATGAATTAACAATGTCTCCCTGAAAGGGAGCAATGGAACGGAAGAAAACTAGAAAGAAAAGAAGATTATCGTATCCCAATTATAATTAATCTCCTGGTAATTATAGGGTTTCTGCTATCGCGTGAGATTATTGATACGCCAGATGCGAGATTTTAACGTGGCCAATTAGTGTCGAAGAAGCGGAAAGCATATCGTTCGATACAACCGATAGGTGGCTCAAACGATATCATCGTACGACTGCCATATCGAATATAGGATGAAAAAATATATAATACTACCCAATAAATTTGCTTATCGTGCATTATTACAAAAATTCGTTCTCTTCTCTCTTATAATAAATCTTCCATCTTTCTTTATTTTTCATATAAATACTTCAATGTGAATTTCAATCCTATTAATCAATGGACAGTTCCTAAAAAAAAAAAAAAAAATTACAATCCGATCTTTGATAATAAATCAATAACAGTCTCATTATATTTTCTTTTTTTGTCAATTTTAATATAAATATAAAAAAAAGTGCAAATTATCAATGATTATATATTTCGTAGATGAATATTAATTAATTAATAAAACATGTTCTAAAATTTTTGGATTTATAAAAATAGAAATTTTCATAATTCTTACCACTAAATATATTCTTCATTAATCAAGAAAAAATTTCAAATTCTTGATATAATTTGCAAATGATCAAAATAAATATTACTCTAGTGAGTACACAAGTATCGATCAAAACATATTTTTCTGTTATATAGTAATACATGGTTTCATAATATTCCATCATAATAAATTAACCATATATCAAGTTTCAAAATATTGTCTCTCGAGTCATCATCAGCCAATGGTTTTTGCACCGATGTCGAGCGTCGTTTCCTTAGGCGTTTATCCAGCTAACCTCAAATACAGTTATGCGTTTGTAACATGGAACAGGTTTAACGTGCACAACGTTGACAGAAAGCTTGTGAACTTGTGTTGTCTTTCCGTACAGACAATTAATGACGTTGTAAGTCTCGAGGCTCGTTTGCGATCATGGAATAAATACCGCACGTGGATTTCGCGGAGAAGAAGTGAGAAGGGAAGAGGAAAGAGGGAGAGAGGTAGAAGCACTCTTTGCGGGCGGGTCAATTAACGGCATCGTTAAGCGGCGTGACTCGCTTGTAATCACGAGAAGGATTTCACCGAAAGAAATGGAACAACGTGTACGCTCCTCTTATTATGAATTAGTTAATAAGCATTGTAAGTCTGCCTCGACCTAACGGCCAGTGAAGTTCACTTTCTAGAGAGATTCGAGATTTCTAAGATATAGTAATTGGGATTCACCATTGTTCCTCTTTATTATTTTCCATTTCTTCGTTCTTCTTTCTCTGGTGTAAAATAATAGATTAGTAAAAATGAATTAAGATAGGAAATTAATTTGAATCGATAATACCTTCTCTTGATTTCACATTCTCTTTGGACGATAGAATACTCTTGCTTTCCGTTTCTATGCTTTGTAGTTCTGCTTGTACAGATGCTTGTTAGATTATTAAAATAAAAATTGAAGAATGGAGAATGTAGAAGAAAAATCATTATTTCGTGTACGTTGTCGAATAATTTGTAATTTCTAAAAGTATACGTTTTCTGAAAAAAAAATAGAATTATTTTTATTTCAATTAATGTTTATAATCAGTCAAAGGATTCAATAAAATAACAAAAATATGATTACAATTAAAAAAAAAAGTAATTGTTTCTTTTTGTCAAATCATATCTTAATATAAGAGATCAAAATAATTAACCAATTTGTTTTTTTTAATTAAAATTAGAGAAAAGATAAAAGAACGAAAGAGAGAAAGATTACGAAAGAGAGGAAGAAAAGTTGGCCCGGATAGGATGACCTTGAAAGAAGGTTCCTCGAGGAGCGCCGAAGGGTCTTCCACGGAGAGCAGCAACGAGGCAGAGGAGAAACTGGGTAGCGAGACGGTGTAGATACGCGTAAGGAAGCGTAACGCCTACGTAGAGCCGAGCCTCTGACTCGCGACTTCCGGTCAAGCGGCAGGAAGCACGCTCGGTGCGTCGCCGCCACCGACATCGACTTCACGTCCTTAGACCTAGTAGTCATGAGCTACGAAATATTTATTTTGTCTATAAGTCGATCAGAATGCAAATCTGTCATTAGTTTCATCTTTTGATCAAAATAGAATTAAATCTTCTATCACGCCTATTATGCATGATATAAAAAAATTCGAAATTTTCATTTTATTTGAGATATCACTCGATGAGATATGGTTTCTAATTAATTACACAAATATAAATTGCTAATATTGAATTTTTATAAATGATAGAGAAAAAAATTTTTTCTATAATGTAATCTCTTTGAAATTTTATTCTTATTTGATAATGCGAGGAAATTCTTAGAAAAGACCAGACCGGAGATTATATTTTATACCTTCAGAAGACTTTAGATAATCTTGAGATAGAAATTCCATTTCCTTGACGAGATAATCTTTTTATGAAATTACTTTATATCATTAAATGATTTTATAATTCTTCTGAGTTTTCTTTTACAATTTTTTTTATACTAATTTTATTTTAGATACATTGAAATAACAATTTTTCAAAATTAGTTTTTATTAATTAAAAAAATGAAAAATATAAGTCAAATTATAAAAATGAAAAAATAGAAGAAACAAAAAAATGTATTAACATAAAGATTACATTTTTGGTTTTTCATTTATATTCTTTTGATACAATTTTTATCCAAGAAGGAAAATCAATTTATAAAAATGAAATTATAATTGAAATCAATCGACATTTAGATTCTTCTTAATTTTCCATCTTGATGGCGACTTATTAACATTAACTGGTTACTTTACTACGGATATGAATATAGAACGAAGGGGAATGCCACGAAGGTGGCTTCAACCGTACATCCGGACGATATAAATGAGAAGTTGAACTTTCATAGTAGTCGCTATTAAAGTTCATTCAGTTTCGATATTGTCTTAACCCTTGGTTGGAATTATTATATTAAGATATGATTTAAGATATGATGATGAATGCAAAATGTTTTTATAATACTTTATAAAAAAATAACAATGAATAAACAATAGATTTTAATCTGAAAATTATAAATTTTTTAAGATTTTAATTAATTTTTACTTACTAAACTCTCGTGCAAAAGATAATAGACTTTTTAAAAGATTGACGGAAATTCTCGTTCCTTTTCCTTCAATGAATGCTGCAGAAATTTCATTTCAATTATAGAGGATTTGATTTCTTCAATGAAATTTCTCTCTAGATTAAAATAGAACTCGAGAAAAACTGATAATCCTGATTATAATGAATAAACTTTTTAATGCAAAAGTTTCCAATCGTAGATCTGGCCTGGATTAAAAAATACAAAGAAGATAAAATGGAAATGGGTCGCTCTTGATTCAAAAGAAAACTTTCCCTATCCTTTAATATCCGTAAAACTTATTCCGGAAAAGAACAGGAATGAATAGTGTGATAAGAAAAAAAAATAATTCCTTGTTCGTACGACTTTATACAGCTTGGAAAGGAATTATCTTTCGGTTCGTGCACTCGGCAGGAAACCTAATTTCAGTCTTCCTGTCATGGGAATGTGCGCACCCTGTATTGCGTTTTATAAGAATAAGAATCGAACACGATGTTCTGCCAAGTTTTCATTTGATTTGTGTGATTTAGAAACGATGCGACGATTGCATCTCTGAAAAAAAAATTTATCGGGTCAGAATTGATAAGAAGATAATAAAAATATAAAAAATAACAAAATGAGAAGGAATAAATGTTTAGAAGAATAGAGAAAAAAGCGTAAACGCAAATTGTGTAGGATCTATTGTTCGAAACAATTGTGGGATTTAGTTTGGAGACGCAGATGAAAAAGACATGATGTAAACTTGATGCAATATTTCTTATCTTTCATTCAAAATGGTAAAAGAAAAGATTGAATCAATCTTAAATTTCCATTGGTTGTTTTCTTTGATGTCATAATGCTTATTATCATGCTCTTTTATAAAAAAATTCATCGTTTGCAAATTTGAATTTCATATGTGTTTAATAATTTTAATAATAACTGAAATTATCAAAAAGAAATAGAAGTTCAGTTATTGTTTATATCTACAGAATATTTCAAAATGTCATATGAAATAATTAATTAATTGATCTCATTTTTTTCAGTACTATTATATTTAATAACTTTCACGACAAAAACATAAAACTATATAATAAAATTTGAGATGAAATGAAATGTATAGTTGACGAAAAGTGGCGTCTTCAAGATAAGATATTTAATATTTACATATGATGGCGTATGGATCTTTTCATATATAAATAAGCATTTAAAATACTAAATAAGTCGAAAATATAGTATAATTGAAAAGAACGAGGAAATAAAGCAATCAAATTTATTATCAACGGTGAGATGAAAGAAAGATACGAATTCGTAAGATCAATTCCGCGAATCAAAAAGATAAAGATCAATTTAATGATGTGGTTTAATGACTTTCCCTTTGCTTGGTTACATGTGCACAATTCACCTCACGAAGTCTCATGATGCTTTCGACTGCCTGTTTTCGGGCAACGACTCGAATGATTTTATCGTTGCATCCTTCTTCTCCTTCCTGCTTCCTGGGCGTGTAAGCACCGGTTGTTTCGAGAGCGTCCAGTTAACCTTATACTTCGTTACGGAAATTAACAATTCACAGTAGAATCCGTCCCATGAATTCTCCAAAGTTCTCCAAACTCATTACTCGTTAATTGTCTTTCTGAAAACTTGCCTTTTTGTTGGTTATGCAATGTTGGCATCACTGTTATTCATATCGATTATTTCAATCGTTATATCGATCTATTCATTCGATAAATTTATCGTATCAATAGAATATACATAGTTGTGACATTACACAAATTCATGAAGACTAACTTTTTTAATAACTAATAATCATTAATAATCAATAATTATTTACTTTAACAAATATTATTAATAATAATGCAATTGTTTTTAATATTACTATTGTTTCATTAATCTAATAATGTCAATAATATCGAATTAGTAATATCGCATTAGTAATATCGATGATATAGAATTATCGATAATATAGTTATCTTTAATAAAATTCTAAAGATTTAAATTTAATAGAGTTTGTAAAATAATTGAACGAAGATAAGCTCTCAAGAGAATATTACGTTTTGAATAATAAGCAATGGAGCATTGTTCGAATCGCACGATCAAGCCGGAAACGAGTAAAGAGAATACCGACAAAATTCGACAGAATGATATTCGATGTCGTGTGACAGACGGGTCGTGGCCGGAAAAGCGCGAAAATAGGAAGAGGAAGCGAGCGAAGAAAGAAAGAAAAGAGAGGCGGAGACGTGGAAGTGGCGCGTGGCACTATCGAATAAGTATCGAATGCCGCCAGATGTTGCGGTGAAGCCAGCTGCTGCACCTCCGCCACTCTGCCCTCTTTTGCTTTTCCTCGCGGTTTTTCGAGAGAGTCGAGCAGGTACAGACACCGACCAATGTATAGCTGGTAATGCTTGATGTTCACTGGTGGTATTATTGCGTGTCACTTTTTTTTCATTTGTTTCTTATGAAATTCAATCGAAACCATGTCAATTAAATGCTTTTCTTACACTACATACACGCACGTACGCCATTTTACTTTGATTTATAGTTCAAACATGGCGGATTATTTTAAAAAATGTCGTTACGCATTTCAAGAGATTCTATTTGGATTTGTTTTTAAATCTTTCTTTGTATCAGGGATAGAACGTTTAAATGAAAAGTTTAATTTGAATTGTATTTGCTGTGATACAAGCAATCATAAGGAGTTCAGATAGATTGAATAATTGCAACAAGTATAATTGGATTGCGTGATGACATTAATAAGGTTTGTTATGAAAGTTCTTGACAGTTCATTATACTGCCAAGAAAGAATATTGCATTAACGTAAATTATCTTTAAATGAAAGTTTGAAATAAAACTTTTCTTATCAGATTTCTATTTATTTTCTTCTAATTTAACAATATTTAACAAAATTTAAAAAATGTAAAAATATCTCAATCATAATTAAACAATTTTATTTATTAAAATATTATATAATATATTAATTAATATTTCAAATTCATAAATGAAAAGTTAGTATTACTATAAGTATTTTAATTAAATATAAAAAATATTTAATAATCATCGGAAAATAAAGATAATAATAATAAAAGTAAAAATAATTGAAAGAAAAAATTTTCAGAATATAATTTTATACGTTCTTTTATTTAGCTAATTCATTATTTTCTAATGAGTTGACTCTTATTATATATTATATTATATTATATAATAAGAATTGAATTTATTAATATACAACAAAATTGTACTGATTATTAAATGAATTCAGAATAAAATAATTAACTCATTCCAAAATAGAATTATTTTATCTGAAAATAATTTTATAATTATTTTAAATATATTTCACATGATACGTAATTAAAAGCTCTTGAGGTTATGTTATATATATTATTTATATATTGTGATTTTTAAAATTTAAATTGTGTTCGTGTTTTGTTAAAAAAATTTTATATTTTTTGCTAAAATATTTTATATATATATATAAATAGAAATTTCATGCAATGAAAATAATTACACACAATTTATTTTTATCGTAATCTAATTTACCTCATGGAATGCGATATATTATACTAAACACTTGCATGTATATTATATATATTATATATATGTAATTTTCGCGGGAATTATGAATCTTCATTTTACACAATTTCGAGAAAGTATTGTTACAATTCTATTCAATTAAATTTTTTGAATTTAAATTTGATTTAATATAAGATGTTTAAACATTTAACATATTCATTGATTAATTTTAGCAGAAATTATCAATTATATTGAAATCAATATCATAATGATTTTAATAAAAGATTACATTGAACTCAAGTATAAAATAATATAAAAAAATAATATATATATCTTTCAAATAAAAGAACATTACAATATTATATTATAATTAAATTATATTCAATGAAAACATCTGATAACTTTTTCTTTGCGTAATTGCTTTCAACTAAAATCGATTTATATACTATCTGTGGAATCAAAATGAAATCAGAGTAACGAACAAGTATCATCGTCATCCTTTCTATTTTCTTGTCGTAGAGAACTGGCGTGAAAATCAAAAAGGGACAAGAAGGAAAAGAAAAAGGAGAGCTCTTCGAGCGAGGAGAACAAGATGGGAAGGAAGTGGCGGAGGGGGTCGAAAGCGAATATCCTTCCTGCCGGGGCAACAAACAGGCAGCTGCTCGGATTTGAGCACGTGCTACTACCACCGTGCGCTGCCACGATGAACCTCGTCTTAGATAGCCGAGGTTGGTAGGTTGCTGGGTAAAGATAGGTAAGTGTTATACACCAGCCTATATGACTGAATATGATCCAGGTATCCGGCGGGACTGACGAGTATTTTCGTGCGTGTTCCGGTGATCTTTGCACGTGCTGCATTTTATTCCTTTTCCTATTTAAATTCACCTCGAACCTTCCTGATCTCTTATTCATCCAGCAACAATTGAGTTACCGTTGAAAATGGTTCTCCTTTTTATTCTGAAGTAACGAATATTATTTCAATTTCATTTTCAATATTCAGAAATTTCAATGACTATCCAGAATTATGCTAGAATTTTTATGTATTATAATTATTGAAATTTTGGAATGTTTTTGTAATAAATACTGTTAAAATATTATATAGGATTATAACAATATAGGAAAAAAGTGACTTGATGACTTGATAGCACGTGCTATGATTATGTTTTGCATGGAAAATGACCGACAAAGGTTGATCGGTGGGATGATCGGAAGGTATTATGCACCAACTCTCTAAATAGAAGGTATACTATATACGAGCACCAGATATCCCCAGGAAGGGTACGATCGTGCATGCATGCGTATCTCCCTTCATGGCATCAACTGTACGTAAGTTTTCCTTCGGGCTATTAATTCTCTCTCAAGGTGGTCTCTGATTTTGCAATTTTACACCAGTTGAGTTTTATGGGCTTTTCCTTTAGTTACGTGAGATATTAACAGATATTTTCTTAATAATCTATTTATCAATTCAGGCAATGAAATGTTGGAAAATTCTAACCTCAAATTTTATCGATTAAAATTTATGTTATTAATTTTGATTTTTTTTTAAAAAGGACTAAGGAAATGATCGAGCTACTGATTTTTAAACGATTATATGTCTAATAGAAAGTTAAATTGATTTTCTGTTGACTGGATAATTAAATTTTCAGCGAATCGAATATCTTCTTATCTGATCATATATCCGTAGACCTGGCGTTATTAATTTAGTAGAAATCTGCAGGTGCTTCTACAGAAATTTCGTTGATCGATCCTGCATCCATGTCGACCAATGCACATAATCAAACCCGCATTCAAAGATCCTTTAAAGGAATTTTATTTATTATAATTATATATTTTATATTATTATAATTGCAAATGAAATGGAAATCAACTGAAAAATATATTTTTTTTCTTATTTTTGAATTTTGATATTAATTATGAAAGTCACGATATTAATTATAAAATCTGATACTTGTTATCATGCTGAAAGATCAATTAATTTTATTTTTGAAAAAAATTGCTGAATAAAAGAAATCAAATAATTTTATCCACAGGAATGTTTATGAAAAGGATTAATAGAAGATTGTCCTATACCACTTATCTATTCAAAAACGCACGACACATTAGTTACAATATTACAAATGATATTTATTGGCCTGATCCTCCATGGTACCTGATAATCATGCGACACCTGTTACGACACAACACTTACTTAATTGGAGGCTACGAACAGCTGCCCACACGACGAACCAATCACGGCTGTTCGCCTGAAATTCTTCTTTACTCGCGACATCCCTGACGAGCACCTGTTCCAATTCGGAATATACCGAACAAGGATCCTTGACCAGGATTTCGCACGAAAGGAAAGTCCGCATTGATTGTCGGATTCCGATTTATTCGATCGACAGCCGTGATTTCGTTTTGACGATAATGCAACTAGCCAATTAATTAAAACATGCAACATATGAAATTGGAATATCAATCAAATCCGAATTTAAATTAGAAGTATTTAATATTTCGCAATATGTTTTTTTTTTCAAATTAAAATTAAATAAATTTTAATTAAAATTTAGACTAATTAAGCGAGAATGGAAAATATTTTTATCTAATTATTCTGAACATATTTCTTCAATTTTTATGTTCTATATGTTTTTTATCATTTTAGAGTATGGTGTGGATTTTTACAAACAAGCGATTGCATTTATTACTTAAGTAAGTAAGTTCTATGTGATAAATATCTTATTTCAACATTTTACAAATTCTTATCGCATGTTAGTGCACATACTTGAAGTTTGAACGCATATTTTGCAGCTGCCATAGCGAAGCTGGAAATTTATCCATCGCATAAAAGCATATCATGCTCAAATATTCGAGGAGGCTGCAGTTAGTTTCTTAAGTCCTTTGCTACTTTACAACGACACTGCGTAACGATGCTGGACGAACGGCACAGCTGTCAACCCGTGTCCACAAGAGGACCATGCTTGAATTTCTATATCGTCCACGATATCATACTCAAATATGTATTCGGTATATATACCACTATGGCGAAATTCCTTGATGTTACCTCACCATGCTTAATGACACGTAAGAGGTCTGCGTATTACACCTGTCAGGCCACCTTTGCCAAAAATTACTCAAATTCTGTCTCTTACGATGGGACATGGAGGATCAACCAGCTGGTGTTATAGCTTTTCACGATTTCGCAATGTTTGATAAACGAAATTCAAGAAAATTGTTCTGCTGGAAATTAATCATCAAACTTGATAATCTCGACAATTAAAATTAAGTATTAGTGATTAAACACGATGATTAATTAATATATTGATTACAGATTATCTGTTAAAATGAAAATAACAGTTAAAAAGAAAAAACTAAAAAAAATTTCTTCAATAAAGATAAAATCAATATATAGCAGAAAAGAATATTTGAACTTTTCTCAGAAGAATTTTATAATGATAGCTAATGTACCAGCTATGTAACAGAGAATGAGTACAATGAGTCGTGATGGATAAAAATGGTCAGAAGTTGACAGCAGATGGTTCTTGACGGATACTGAGTTAAGGTGCATCCTTACACAAATTGTTATGGCTTTAATTATTTGCTTTGAAGACAAACAAACAATTGATCTTGATTCCTTTATCTTATTTTTTTGCAATTTAACGTTTATCAATTATATAATTTTATTAACAATATACAATAATATATATATATATATCTTCATATTTTGACATGTCGATTAATTTTTGCAGATTTCTATTGTTCATCGATAATCATCTCGCAAACTCAATGAAATATCAAAATCGATGGACACACAACAGCTGCCGGATCTTAAAGACTGCAGAAAAAAAAAGGAACGCATTGCGTCTTGCGGCATTCTTGAAATGCCCGGCAAACGTGGTAACGTTAAACCGAGTACATGCACGAGAGCGATGGAGGCTGGCACGCGAGAGCTTATCCGGCAAAATACCAGAAAAGAATTCGTCCGAAGTGGGCCAGCGGGCTCAGTTTCCAGGCCGGAGAGGAGCAACAGATGGCACCGACCTTGCGGATGCTGCGTTAGAACGCTTCGTTTTTCTTTGTACGGGGCACGTGCCACGTTTCCTTGCCGCCACCGATCCGCGACCAATGTTCCGCAAGCCATATTGAACCAGGGCCAGGTTAAGCCAGATCACGTCTCGGCTTTCCTCCTTCTGCCGTGAAAAGATTTTTCTTTTCTGGTCGATTGAAAAAAAAAAAAAAAAAAAAAAAAAAAAGGGGAAAGAAAGAAAGAGAGGAGCTGCACTCTGACATCTGTGCCCTGATAGACGAGAGTCTATTCCGCGTTTCCTTCGTCTATCCCCCGGATGGAAATCCTTACCTGGTTCACGAGGCTGGAACATTCGAGTCGCGCATTTGTTTCACCTTCTGTTCACCGCCGATTCGAAAGCAATTATCCTGCGTTTTTCTTTCACGGAGACCTTATGGCATCCTGATAGACGATTCCGGCTTGAATATGGGGAAATGTAAATTAGGATTCGAGAGATACTTGGAAGAAAAGATTTTTATTTTCTTTTTTTACTTTAATCCGAATAATAAATATTAATAAATATTCTCTGGTATCACTAGCGACTACATAATTATTGGTTAAAATCCATCGAAGCTGTTAGAGTCATTTTACACAATCGTGTTTTAAAAAAAAAAGAACGAGCGTTTCAATTGTATCTTAAAAATAATAATCACGCCGTTTAAGATCTCCAGTTTCCCCGCGAATAGATGACAGGCTATCGTTTTTCTTCATTGATAACGCGATTCATTGAGTAAAAAGCTGGCAGGAAACGCGAGACGTCCAACAACGTCGTGTAAATTCGAGCGAGCGACCGCGACTGTAAAATTAGACGGGAGAATAATACGGGATCGATCGATCTTAATTCGAGGGACTCGTGCCCAACTACAATAACCACCCGATGATAACGATGCCTTGGTGTCGGATTTGTACGAGTTTTCGATTACTCCGATCGATATCTCTTCTTGCGGTTTTCTACCGCCATTTGAAATCGTACGAACGACCACCTTGTGCTCGAAGATCGTAACTTAGACGTGCAACGTTCTTTCGTTTTAATTTGCTTTCGAATCGAAGACTTTTTTTTTTTTTTATAAATCTTCGATCACCTGTTTCATTTTTTCCAATAATTATAAAAGATATACTATATTATAATTAATATACTATAATAATAATATTATTAATATAATTAATATACTATAATAATTAATATACTATATTAATGTTTTATAATTTTGTTCTTTCAGATATTCAAGATACAATGATGTTCAATTTTCTTTATTATACATTTTCTCCATTTCTTCAAACATTCTTAATACCGTTAAAGACAAATCTT